ATGGGCCACAGCCTGGAGCAGCAGCTCAGGGGTGCACCATATACCAGAACTCCTCAGACCTGGATGGTTTTGGTAGGACTTCTCTGAGGAAGGCAATTTGAAGTCTTGTGTTGGGGTTCAGTGGGCTGGCACAGTGGTGTGAAGTTTAAAGCATTTTAGGATAAAAAGAATGAACCTTCATGGAACTGTAGTCTCACTGGACTCTGCAGAACTGGGCAAGAGTTCGAGTCCCAGTAGAAAGAGCAAGAGGCTGTACAGCTGCCTTCACCAGGACTGGAGCCCCAGGGGGTGCGTTCTCTGACCTTTGCGCACCTAAGAGGGTTTTTCTCCTTCTCGCTCTACTCCCCCGCCCCCTGTCTCCTGCCTTCCTTGTTCCTTCTGTTTTCTCTCTAGAGAAGACTGCTGTTCAGTCACTCCAAACCATCTCAACAGCCTGGCTTTGGGCAAACTAGGTCCAAGAACTCAGGGTGAAAGTGCTTGCAGATTTGCTCTGCCTTTCCTCCCCAAACATGGGACCCCGATCCACTCGAGACCCCTGTAGCTCGTGCCATGTCACCTGCATGCCTTACTCATCGCCGGGGTGCCGTCTAAGGTGTCCTTGGGCAGATCCTCCACACAGCTTTAACTCAGTGTCCCCTGGCCCTTGATGGTTTGTCCGTTCCATTTCCCCCGGAGACTGGAGGCTGTGCCTAGGGATGGTGGGCCAGAACTTTTCCTTTCTTTGAAAACCAAAGCCCTGGCTGGAATGCTGCTGCACTGCTGATCCTCAGCTTCCCGAGCTCAGGTTCTGGGGGACCTTCTTTTCCTGTGTGTGTCTGTTTTTAAGTTTTGTTTTCTGGGTACTGGACATACGCCTGTCTGAGCCCCAGGCCTGTCTGTCCACGGCCCATTTTCCACCATCTCTCTCTCTCTGGTACCTCCTGAGATGGTTTCACAACCGTGCCTGTTCTCAGGACAGGGCCAATGACTAGTCCCTCTGCCAGGAAATGCGGGTTCGGCTGCTAAAGAAGGTGGAGGGCTAGAGTTTGACGGTTTCTCTTTTCCCTGTTTCTTATTTGTTTCTGTTATAGAAATGAAGTGTGGGGGTTTAAAAGGCATTTAAACTGCACTCTGTAGCCGGCAGAACCAGGCAACGTTTTTCCCAATAAAGGCTTATCATGCCCCCTCCATTGTTGTCTTTTCACTGGGACTCTGAGAGGCATGGGGTTGAGAGAGTGGGAGGATGTGGTAGGCAGAGAGGGTCTGAGGAGCCTTGATCCTGGGGCTGGGGCCTTAGGTGGGGGTGGAGCCTTAGGTGGGGGTGGAGCCTTAGGTGGG